TTATCCATTCTTTAAAATTCTTTAACATGTAGCAGGAGATACAATACATTACAGACCACTGGGGTTGCAGAGGGACTTATCATGTTTATGATAAAAATCATGATATTTGAACAATGCACAGATAAGATAAATTGACCACAGAAACACAGTACAGAAGACTGATTTTAGGGTTAATCTATACAATATGGACACACTAAGCTAGGGCAAAATAAAGATGATATTTTTATAGAGGACAAAAAGGACAAGAAAGATAACACCACAAATAAAGGAAAAAGATTGTGGTAAGCATTGCTCATAGAATAAGCCCGCTCGGTGCTCTCGACATTCAGCTCCATCTTGCCATGCATACCGAGCTGAAGGCAATGTTTCTTGGGGAGAGAGAGGGGAGAGAGCCCCCCAACAACCCTCCCCTCAGGCATGGGCACGCCTAGCCACGGCAACTTAGATTGTCTAATAGACTTTGTGATGAGGAGTTGGGAATTTAGTGTCCACCAGGGTGAATTGTGTGTAAAACTCATGCTAGAGGTATGACAATAGCTCATCGAGTGTACGCCAACGTTCCCGATAAGAGTAATTTTTTCATAAAGTATGACACCAAGTTATAGCCAAGTAGATTGTTGATGGCAGCACACACTTTTTAATAAGAATCGTGAATTTTCCTCCCAGCTTTGTGATTATTAAAAATTTGAGATTTTGAGCCTCAGAGGTTTGTTAAAAAACAGCCACAAGGAGTGTAGGGGGGGGGGTGCGTTGTAAAGGAATAAAACAAACGACTATGTAAAAGTGCACTGCGTTCAACTTTAAAGCTTGAAAAAGCAGTAAAGATACAAAAGCATGTGCTGAGATCTTTCCATTTCATAACGCCAATACACCAAGAAATATAATTTAGGCTAAATCCACGCCGCCACTCCGACAGGAAAGCTAACTCCACGCCGGAGATCTTCAGGCCTAAGTGGATGAAGTGCACCCTGGAGTCTGTAGCGTGTGCATCCATACTTTAAAGATTCCTAGGACCTGGGATGTGCAGACCCTCCAGACATGCCCCACCCAAGGAAATTTGAAGTGATACCCTGTTCTTGCTTCATTATTCATTTCAATCTTTTAGGCAAATAGTTACATTTCCAAATTTTCTGTAATGATAGTTGCACACAGAGATGTAGCGGTGCAATAGGGAAATGCTGAAAAATTGTGTTTAGTCAAGTGCTGAAATGCTAATTTCCCAAATATGCAAAGATTAGAAACAATATTTGAAACTCAATTTTCAGTTTATCTTGGTCTGAAAATAAATATATAGAAGTATATAAATCTCCTCTGCAGAATGTACACACAAATAAAATTCAAAAAATTTCAGAAGAAAATTAAATATAACACATTCATCATTTCACCTTATACATGAACCCATATTTCAAAAGAACAAAAAAAAACATCAAACAGACACCAACCAAAAAAATTAAATATCTTCCACTTTGTAATTACAACCAAAATCAATAATAATAATAAAAAACACGTAACGAAAATACAAATAAAAACAAAAAAAAACTGGAAGAAACGGGTAAACTTGTCCTCACCTTGTTATGAGGTAATACACTAAGAACACGAAGAAGATCAGTGTTGAAGACATGACTGCTTACATCTTGTACTCTGGACCCCACACCTGTCTCCTTCTTCTTCTTCTTCCTCCTTCTTTTATTCGGTTTTTGACTCTTCACACCTGTCACTCTCCCGTTATCAGAACACACCTGTTTGTTGTGGTTTCGGAACCGAGCGGAAACCTAGCGAGAAAGCGCTACGAGGGGAAAATGGTGCTAGAAAAGAGCGGAGGTTATCTAGCACAACGGAGACCTAGCGGGACATCGTATTTGTGATTTTTAAAAATATGAATGTATGTGTGTGTGTGTGTGTGTGTGTGTGTGTGTGCTGTACTGAACATATATTTTCCAATTACACAACACACACACACACACACACACACACACACACACACACACACACACACACACACACACACACACACACACACACACACACACACACATACACACACACACACAGACACACACACACATATGTATATATATACACACACACATATACCTACATATATACATTCATGCATTTGTGGATGCATACATACCTATCTATTTGCCTATCTGCGCACACACACGTTCATATTTATATTTATGTATATATGAATGTATGTATGTATATGAATGTATATATGTATATGAAAACACACACACACACACACATATATACGAATATATAAATATATATATATATATATATATATATATATATATATATATACATATATATATACATACATGTATATGTATATATATATATATATATATATATATATATATATATATATATATATATATATAGAGAGAGAGAGAGAGAGAGAGAGAGAGAGAGAGAGAGAGAGAGAGAGAGAAATAGATAAATGTATATATCCATTATATATATGTATACATACATAAATACATACATATATGTACATATATATATATATATATATATATATATATATATATATATATATATATATATATATATATATATATAAAGACAAAAACAAATAATGCGTCTGTAGTACAGCCACATTCAACGATGCCGATTATTGATCACGATAAGCAGAAGAGATGCTTAGGTCGAGTGGAATGGCGACCGCCGATCTCTCTGTTACGTAAACAACCCATTGATACAGATTCCTTTTTCTGAAGTATATGGCGTGCTTCCCAGGTTTTCAACATTACCAGGACATATTCTGCAATAAAATAGTATTTTTCTCTTCATAGTCAAGTTGTGTTCCGCACGTTACTAAAATACTAAACGTACTCAGTACATGTATAACTTAGACTGCCAACTGGATGATACTGAGCATGCAGTGTACTAAATCATCTGTCTGTGTCTTTTGAGCATGACGCGAGTAATAGGCCTCCCCGGCGGGGAATCGAACCCCGGTCTCCCGCGTGACAGGCGGGGATACTAACCACTATACTACCGAGGAATCGGCTACTTTCCACTGCTATCAATTTCACCTGTATTTACCTATTTGTATTAAATTTACATATTAAACATTTTTATAATTAATTTGACTTTTTCTTGGCAAGAATATAATGATATAGTCGGACTCACTAACCTTTTTATGCAGAAGATCAAATTTTCCCAGTAATCTATAGTAATTCTACATTAATCTTAAAATAATGATAATAATAATAATCGGGAAATAATTCTGACGCAAAAAGTATTAATAAATGCTTCTGCCGGGATGCCTTTTACAAAACAAATCCGTTTATTTTTCAACATCTGCATCTTTCTACAGCCATTGTCACTCACTTTCACATTTGGCATGGCTTAATGATGCACGAATAACTACTCTCTATTCAAACTGAGATTGAAATTGATCATTGGGGTTCTTTACCACACTGAACAAGACTACCTGTTTCTTTTACACTTTATATTACTGCAGTAGTTTTTCCCATGTATACACACTTGGTGAACTGCGTAAGATATTTTTCCGACTCTACATCTTATAAATACTTTTGATCTCCACTGTTCATTAGGCTATCAGCAGTAAAACTAAATCTTCAGTCTGTGTCTCGGAAGGGGCGATTAGGAGGTATATATAGGAATAAAGTATTTACAACACACATGCCTTCCAAATTTTCCAAACGTTGATCAGTTACTTTTCTGCCCTCGTTAGTTATAACAGCATTATTACCATCGGTAATTACAGTGGTACTTTTACCCTCGATGGTTACACTATTGTTGAGTTGAACCTCTGTCATATTTTCGATAATACGGTTTCTAAGGCATTTGCTAAATTCACCGTGCTGTAGCCGCCAGTAAAGAAAGATGCCAACACTGTCATTAACCGAAAATTTTGCTTCGAGACTCGTCGTTTTGAGGTAATTCCATCAATAAATCATCATCTAGTTCTTCCAGTGTATCAAAGGTATCACTGAACTGAGACTTTGAAGAGATCCTATTAATCAGTGTCAACAGCACTTAAATATGGGATATCTTGGAGAAGACACAACCGAGTTTACATAATATGTTTGCATAGCACTTCAACACTCCAAAGAGAATTCTTTGCCTCGAGCCGTGTAGAAGATAAGCTTGCACTGAATACAAGATAAGTTTTTTGTAGATCATCTGTAGCGTCGTTAAGATGTAACTGGAGGGACACAGTATTTTTTGACCCGAAACACAGGTGGTTTACTAGAAGTACTGTAAATGTTGATCAAGCATATGGGACCTTCAAGCGGTCTTCAGAATAATTGGGGTAGAGACTTTACAACTGTTAATCGTAAAAGACACTTGCACCGGAACTAGAGTTTCTGCTAACTGAGGGAGACAATAGCAGTGATAAATCGCTTTGCCGACTTCGTTAACTTTCCAGATGCTCAGTTACATCGATAAGTGTTTGTGTGGAGGTGCAGTGTCTTTTTAGGGGCAACTGCTTGAAATATATTCAGCGGCAACATTTGTAGTGGTGTACTAGATTGAGTCTGAGAGGACTTATCTATAACTATAGTCAATATGTAATGGGGCGTTACTTACACCCAAGAACTTGAGTATGGAATGATATTGACACTTAGTGTTGGCCTCAGTATCTTATTTTTAACTGTCTGTCTGAGATAGTATTGGTGTATGAGAACCTTCCAGAGGGTAAACTGAATTCTGTACTCATGTTCAGAATTCTCGTTGCTTTTAAAACTGCTTAGTTACATATTTCAGGCGTATAACATTGTTTCCTAACTTTTTCCAATTAATAATGTTGATACTTATATACTGATCTAAGAAAAATACTTTATCTTTTAACGTCACTTAACGTGCAAATGGCTCTATACGTAAAAGAAGACATTTTGCCATTGCATCTATTCGAGAAAGTTTCCAACCTAATCCAACCAAGTAGTATACAAAAATCTTATAATCACCACCCATCGGAGAGACAACTACCCTCACAATTGTTGATTTCTCTCACCTTATGT